GTGAAGCTGGGGCACGGTGGGTAGCTGCAGAGGAAGCCAAGCTTCAACACTATTCCTTTTTGTTTGATTCAGGCTTCCTCTTCTGTGCTTTCCAAGCTTCCCCAGCCAGTGGCACTTGTCATGGCCCCTTCATCCCTCAGGAGTTCGTAACTCTTCCTATGCCCCATCTGTGGAGGGCTGGAGGCTGTGCCCGGGGACCCAAACCTACCTGCAGCCACGGAGCCCTGACAGCTATTGCTGCTCCCAACAGAGGCTTCAAAGCTTGTGCTTCTAAAGTAGGCAGGAGGGAGAAAGGGTTGGGTGCGAGGGGCTGGATGCTAGGTGATGATGAGGAAAGAGAGGGACCACAGAAGGAAAATAATGCAGGAAGAGAAAATAGAACATACCCCCCCCCCCCAAAAAAAAAATACTTTCATAAGGCTAAAGTCTCCCAGCTGGTGGTCCAAGAGTCAGCACAGATGAGGAGAAGCATGCAGGAAAGGGCTCTCCAGAACCAGGCTAGATGTGCTCCCCTTTTTGCTGTTCCCACAGCCAGACCCCCACATCAGAAGCACAGGGTGGCCTTGCTTAGGAGCACCTTGCCAGCATGACTTGCTCTTAAAGGCTTTCACTTCACTACTGTAAAGAAGGCACAAAGGCCATCCCAAAGCTGTATTTAGAAACTGCTCCAAAGCCTCTTCAAGGTGCAATGGCAGTCCTCAGAACTGGCTCTGAAATCCTTTCTCTGTGCCTTTACGCTTAACAATTCACTTTGCAAAGCCAAACTAAGCCAGCAGGGCTGGGACTGATACCTGCTGTACCTCCCAGGCACACCGCTCGAGACTCCAGCTTTTGGCCCTTCATCCCTGTGCTTGCTCCTCAGTGCAGGAGCAGACCAAGCTTCACATCACACACAGGACTCCAGGTAAGAAACAGAACCTGAGGCCCCAGGCAGGATAAAGACATGTGTTTCATCCCCCAGCCCCTTCAGCAGGTCCCAAGGTGAGGTGGTGAAACAGGACTGGTTTCTTCATGCACCAGCCTGCAGGCAAACAACTTGCTCTCCTAATTGCCACCCATAGCTTTCCCACAGCCCCTTGCCCAGGCCTGAATGCTGCCTATCATTGTGTTCCAATTGAACCCACAGAAGGAATTTATCAATCTCCTGAGTTGCCAGGGTCAACCTGACCAAGGAATGCATACTATTTGAGATGAGCCAGTTGTCTGGGCTTCTCTGTAATGGTAAAGGTGGGAAGCAGCTGGGAGATGCTCCAGAACAATCTGCCCTTGGACATGGCTGTAAAAACAACCCCGTTTACCAAAATCCCTGCAGGGGAAGCAGTGCACCCAGCTGGGGAGATCCCATCTCCTAATAATCCTGCAGCCAACAGCAGTAAGCGCTGTCACCAAAACGGCCAGTGTAAAAGTGGGACAAACCCTGCTGGGTCTGAAGCCCTTATCAGAGCACCAACATCACCTCCAAATCTGAGCTCTCTCTGGGGAAGGAGCCAGCGTGGGCAGAGTAATTGTCCAAGGGTTTAAGAGGTAGGAGGCAGGATGGGGAGAGATTAACTCAGACTTCGCTGCCTGAAGCCAGATGGGCTGCACGACACACATTTGTCTGCCCTATGTTACAGGAGACCTGTTTGGCTGCCAGCTGCCACTTCTCCTTTACAGAGAGGGATTTCACCAGCATTAAGGACTCACCTGTCAGGACTGAACCAGTGACCTACCTACACTGCTGCAGGTAACAGCACACCTTATCAGGACCTTACCCTGACCTCAGGACTTAGCCCTAAAAAAAATAGGGCAGCAGCAATGAAAACCATTCTTCAGGGCCAGACACTGGCAGTGCAAGGGGGACAATGCTTCAGGAGGGGCACCCCTGCAATGGGGATGGTGCCGATGCTGCAGTAGCCCACAGGATGAGGGCTCAGCGCAGTGACACAGACTAGGGCTCCCCACCAGCGCCCCTCACCTCTCCTAACTCACCATTTGATCCATTATCCCCCCAGATCGGTTGCTGGGCTCAGCAAGGCCGTTTCCATGCGGATGGCTGTTTCTCACCGTTGCCGTGGCGACAGCGCCAGCAGGCCGGAGGCGGGAGGGCCGAGGACCGAAGCTCCCGGAGCGCTCCAAGGGCAGCAAGTACATCTAATCCAGCATCGCTCCATTTTACGCCTTTGAGAAGCATGGAGGAGCTATCAAATGACCGGCTGGGAGGCAGAGAGCAATGCTGGGGGCGATGCAGCGCTGCCCGCTGCTCCCATTAACACCCTGAAATCAGGTTGAACAGCAGCTGGACGGCTCTGGCACTTACCTGGCTCTCATCCCTGTGACCCCCATCACAGAGCCAGTCCCACACATCCCCCTGGAGCTCAGGCCCAGGGTCAGGTATCAGCCCCACTAGTGCATCCTCACAATCCTCATCCAACATAACTTTAATGTCCTGTTCATGAGGTGCTGGGTCACCCACCTCTGTCTTGCACCACTCTGACTTCGTACCTAAGGCTATCATAACATGCCCAAATGGAGGAAGGACACTGGAAGGCAAGAGAAACCTGTGCAAGTGCAGCTTTCAGAGGCAGATGGTGCACTGCCAAGAGCAGGGGCTCAGGGAGTCCTCCAGGCAAAGCCAATGCCTGGCATGTTGCAAAGCCACTGGGGAGAAAGAGGAGGATAGCCATGGAGAGCATAAGTAACATGTTCCTTGCTTTAAGAAGGCTGAATTCACACTAGTTCTGTCACCCACAGAAAATAAACTCCTCCAAAAGCTCCTGTTCAAACCTGGACAAAGCAGAATGCAGAAAACACTGAGGGCTTTGCAGTGTTACCCACAAATTGCCATTGCCTTGTTGCATTTTTATAGGAATTTCTTCTACAGTGGCCAAATGTAGTAGTGCTGCTGCTCCTCTGGCAAAGCTGCCCCGGGAGGCACCTCTCTCTGTGGTCCTCCTCCCTAAAACCTGCCAAGGGCCCTGGGCACTCACTGAGCATCTCCTACCATGCTCCTTTAAAACAGTCCTTTCGGTGCCCTTGGCACCCTCACAAATCCAAGAATACACATCAATCCACCCCGGCAGCAAGCTGCAACAGATAAAAGGTGCCCTAGGAAAGGACTTGATTTCTGTGAGGGAAAAAGCCAGTCTAAAACCAGTGTGGTATTTTTATGTCAAAACATTAGAAGAAGAATGCGCAATTCAGGGTTTCCCCACATAGGTGTTTTCTTGAGAGCTCCTTTCCTTATACAGTCATTACAGCTCTTCCCTGGGAGAAACAAAGGCAAATCAGACCTTTGCCAGCAAACGGCTCGAGCAGGAGATGCTGCTGCCTGATGAGGTGTCAGCCTGGTGGGCAGGTAGTGCCAGGCTGTTACTGCTACACTGACCGACCTTGCACAGCTCAGCCCATGTCCTGCAGCCCTGGAGCAAGGGGAAAAGTTGAAGAAATCAAAGTCACCTCACCATTCTGCTGAGGAGTGCTTGGCCAGAAAAGCTTTTACAACCATGTAACAAGACAGGGAAGCACGAGGGTTCAGACGCATTGATCACCAGGGCTCTGAAACTTGGGAAGCAAGGCAAAAGCAAACCCACAAAATCCTGTCCTGTTGCCTGCCCACAAAACCATCAATGTGCTCTGCAGCATGCACCCACCTGGTTCACAGGATGAAAGCTGCTGGAGTGCCACATTTCCTGTTGCCATCCAGCCTTTACCATCTCTCTGCCCATAGCCCCCAGATCCTGCAGGAAAAGCTGGCAGAAAAGCAGCAAGACAGGGGACAGACAGAAGACAGACAAATAGACTTCTTAAAGCATCAGAAATCTGATTGTGCTGGCTGGGTCAGAAGGACCAAGGGAAGCAGAATAGGCACCAGCACCTGAGCAAAAGGAAGGTCATACAGGTGCACTGAGAACATCAGGAGCTAAATCAGGGCCAGTCACTCAGTGCTGGAAGGTTAATTGAAAGGAGTCTTTAGCAGGGACACACCATTACAGGATACAGAGGTTTGAGTCTAATGGGATTTCTGCAGCTCACTGTCCAATGCAGTTTATATAAGAAATATTGCAAGTGTCCTGCTTTTACTGCTTCTTTTTAAAAGCAAAGGCAGCACAAGAAGTAACAAAAGATAGATTCTACTGCCAGTCAAACATGGCTCCCAAGTCAAGCATCACCTCGTCACTTAGTGCCTGTCTGAAAAGCCACAGGCTCAAGTGCTTTCTGATATGCTCAAGGTCTCCAAAGGAAAGCATCAGAGCTCTGCACACATGAAAGTGGAGGTGGGGCTCAAAATAAAGTGGATTTCTTGTCCCAGATGTGGATGTTCAGAGGAACTAACACAAACAGGGATGCTGCAAGCTTGTTACAGAGCAGCTTAAAAGGGATTCCAGACACTGGGAAGGTGCCATTCACATGTTCTGCAAAGCTGGGAGCAGCGCACAGTGGGAAATCTGAGTGCCTCAGCCCAACCTAGAAGCCATGGAGAGATGATGGCTCTTCTGCCGAGCAAGGTGTGTTCAGCTGGCATCTTCTGGTCATGAACCATCAGCAGAAAACAGCCCCAGGGTTAGACAAATGCTATAAATGGAATAAAGAAAGAGTCTGTAAATACAAATTGGGCTAGCAATAATATACAAAGGGAAAACATAACTGAAGGCCAAGAATGCCTCCTGCAGCATTAGCTCACGTAAACAAGAGCTTGAGAAGTCTGCAGTAACCAAAGGAATGTTCCCAAAGACAGGAATATCCTTGAGCACACTTGTATCCCAAATGCCAGGAAGAGGTGCATGTGACACGCCTGTGTAGTCCAAGGCACACCTCTGCTAATTTCCTTCTTAGCAAAGGAATTCCCATCTGCACCATTAAATATTTTGGAAGACAAAGACAATAAATGAGGCTCTTAAAACAAATTGTGTTTATTCAATTTCTGTCTTTTGTGTTGCTAACAAATCTTCATCCTAGCCTAGGAAAAAAATAGCAGGTAGAAAAGATCTCCCCTTTGCTCCCACCCTCCCCACCACACACACTTCTTGTTTCTTCAATAAAAGAATCCAAATTTCAAGCATGAGAAGCTTTTCGTTCAATACATCTCAGTAATAAAATTAACTCTGTGGTAGATATAAAAGACAGCAGCCAAGACCAGAGGATCTGCTGTGCTACTCCCAGGCAATTAGTACCCAGAATGATCAATCAGTTTGTCTGCAAACAGAGTAAGAAAATACTTCGCACTTAGGCAGCACTTTTTATCCATGAATCTCAAAGTGGTTTTACAAAAGCTGAAAAATATGGTTTTTTGGCCTCATTACAGAGAAGAAAACACCAGCTGGAGCAGGAGGAGATTTGCCCCAGTCACAGAACAATTTACTAGCTGAGCTAAGAACAGATCTCTATGTCTCAGCATCTCACAATCCGTGCCGTGCTCTCTGCTTCACACAGGACAGCCTGAATTTGGCAAAAGCTCTGGTTTCAGAAATGAAGTGGTTTGTGTTTTTGCCACCAAATAAAAGTCTAAATGGGGATCTGACAGCTCTTTTAGGAAGCACTGATTTCCCAAGGCTGTGATGCCAAGGAGAAAACTCAGTCTTGGATGGAGCTGCTGAGAGCTTTGGAAAAGAAAAAGTTTCATACTGGAAATGTGAACAAATAAGAGAGTGGTGCAGGAGGAGGTAAATCCACGATCTACAATGTGCAAATGATTCTCCACTTGGAGCTTTAACTAAATGTTTGAGGAACAAATCACAGGATAAAAACCTAAACCTTGGCAAATAGTGTTATTAGATGGAGAGGAACCTGGAGCTGAAGCACGCATGGCCTGACACCTCCTCTATTAGCAGGCTTCTGCCCTGAAGTTGCTCCTGACAGACCTGAGAAACCAACAGTGCAAACACAAGGAAGAGAGCGGTGAAATACAGTATCTTACCCTAGAAATATGTTTAGCAACCCAGGAGAGGAGAGAAGTACCATGAGATAGAGTAAAGGCTGATTCAGGGAAGCCCAGAGCACCCTCCATTACAAGGTCCACTCTTGATACTAAGCAAGCACCAACAACCCACATGGTTCTCTTCCTATGCAGCACCATGCAAAATGCGTGCATGACTTCAATGTTGTTCTTCACAACACATCACCCACAGCTCAGTTTGGTCCAAACAAGACATCCCCAAGGGTCCTTTAAAGTAGGAGGGTCTCCCATGTATAAGCACCAATTTTGTAATGCCCCTCTATACCTCCTATAGGAATGGGACAACCACAGGCTCGTGATGGATGCAGAGGGATGGGTGTAGTGCCTGGCAGCACAAAGCCATAAACAAGCCTGTGTGCAGGAAAGCCCAAATGTTGGCCTAGAACTAAAAACATGTTTAAAAGAGAAGGTCAGGCCAGCATCCTCACCAGCCCACGCTGGCAGGTAATACTATACCCAGGATCTTATTTTATCAGCAGCATAAACACCACAGTGGTTCAATCAGTACTGATGCACCAGTCAACTGTGCTTTGAAGCCTGGGAACAGCAAATCAGGTTCTCACAGAGAACAGCATATCAGACAGCGATAGGTAAGCAACCTAAATCAACAAGCTCATCTCCTAAGTCAACAAGCTCATCTCCTAACTGCAAACCTGCAGCAATGCACATTAATTCAGGTTTCCTCTCTCTCTTTTGGGCAAACCCGAATACTACTAATTCTCCACACTGGTACTCCATCACACAGGAGGGTGCCAGCAGCTGGGTCTCCCTTGCTCTCAGCAGCAAATGGCTGTGAGGATTCACCCCCATGCTGCAGAAAAGCCCTTCTGATGTGAGCAAGGAGCTGCTGTTGCTCCCCACATGCTTCCCAGACACTCATCTTCCTTCTGTGCCCACCTCCTCATGCATTAGAGACACAGCCAGCTGCCCTGGCTTAATGGTATTAACACACCACTTTTCACTTAGGAGCTTTCAGATACTAAGGCACAAAGATTAAGTGACTTGCATAAGAGTCAGGAACGCACCTTATGTTTCTCGGTTGCAGTGATTTCTCTCACCATTTTTTTTCTGATCTCTTGCATATTAAAATCACGAGTGGATTGTGTGGATGAAAACAGGATTTCATTTCCCTGCTAATACTGAAGACACAAACACGGATAGCTGCATTTCTAAGCCCTCCCCATGGCTCCCATCCATTCCCTCTATGATGTTTGCCTCAACAAAGCAGCAAAGCACCGGTGCAGACGGAAGCACTCCACACATGCAGTGCAAAACTCCAGCTTTGCCATCCTGAGACCTACAACAGGAGAGAAAACGGATGCATCTCTGGGAAACCAGGAAAGGAACCTCAGCTACACTTTGTTCATCAACAGGAACAGGGAACAACAGCAGCGCTTAATGCAGCGGGACTTCCGTGGTACAAACAGGGTGAGAAGAATCATTCCCATGCCTAACTTGAGTTAGGGCAGATGAAGCCCTGCGAGATGCCGGCCAGTCAGAGCTCCCAGGTCAGGATGCTTGACAGGAGCGATGGTTTGGTTTCCTAGAAGGCGCGAGTGCATGGCTTTGGTGTGCCTGTGGCAGAGCCCCAGCCCCAGGAAGAGCAGCCGAGCCATGCTACGTGCAGCTGTGCCTCATGTGGAAGTTCACCACGTACTCAGCGTTAGTGCGCTGCACCGAGATGGCGAAGGGCTCGAAGGGGTGGAAGGTGAACGCAACCAGGCGCCGCACGGTGTGATTGATGGGGCGCCCCAGGAGACCCGCCTGGATCTCAAACTTCAGGAGGCCAGAATCACGAGCGTAAAATCTGAAAGGAAGAGAAAGTCAATTATGGCTGTTCCCAACTATTGACTTTGCCATCTGGGCTCTTCATACACAGAGACAAACACCTTGTTCAAGCTCTGGTACTCCCTCAGGGGCAGGAAGTCCTCAGCTAGGTGTCTGGCTCTTGGCCAGAAAGTCCCTCTCAGGGCAACTAGTTTTCCACTGTCTAGAGAAGCCTGATTTCAATTTAGTATCATCAGTGCCTGTCGTGTTGGTGGACAAAACTGACTTCACAACAGGGAATAAGCTTGGGCCAGACCCCACTTGTGCTGGCTCTCCATCCACTTAGTGCAAGCTGCTCCCCTTCATCCTTAAGGCAGACATACTGTACTGAACTGAGCTTACTTCCCTTAGTAATAGCCTTCACTGTGAATGTAAGGCCACCCCTTCCCTCTCCCAGTGCTGCCAGGTCGGCTTTTTGCTGCTGCTACACTCCCTTTCAGCCAAGGAAGGTGAACAGCTTGATCCAGTTCTGCTCAGGGGTGCCAAGATGAACTGTGCAGCTCAGCCAGGGTTTTGCAGTTCCTTTTAGATTTCCATCAAGAATAAAAAGCATTAACAAGATAGGCTGGGCAGAAAGCACCTAGTGGATTGCATCCAACAATCAGAGCAAGGGAAGCGGTCAAGGGAAGCCTTGCATCCTTGTCACTCACAAACCTGCAGGTGGCTCAGGCTCATTTATGTCTCCAAACAGCAGAGCTCTGGAACACAGCTTCAGCACACAGCAAACACTGCCAAGTGGATGAGGCAAACACTGCTGAAGAGACAGGTGAGTCTGAGAAGCTCTCTGCTTCTTGAGCCTTCTCTGTGTAACCAACATGAGCCCAAGTAACACCAGGATCCTGTGTTGCTGTGGGAACACAGGACTCTGCGATGACCCCACACTCCCCCAGGCTGTGGTGGAGGTTTCAGATGCGGTGATGGAGGTTTCCGGATGCGGTACCTTCACCAGGCAGCTGGGCTCTAACTCAAGTCCTCAGCCTGAAGTTGTCTCAGTACGTTAGACCCATTTTCTCTGCTCTCCCAGCATTGCCATTTCACCTCCCAGCTGCCTCCTTTTCTATCATCACTTAGTACATGTGGGTATTTTGCATTTTTCATCTGGTTTTCACTCCGAGAATGCTTTTAATCTCAGAGCACATTTCCCCCCCCCCGCCACCAATACAATGCAGTCGGCTTTCAGCCTGGAAGAACGGGTGATGACAGATAGAGGCAATGCTGTTTCAGAAGCAGAAATACTCCACATTTTAACAACAGAGCCTATTGAGAACCTCATGTTCTTCCTGGAGGGCCACTCTCCTCTCCCTTCCTCTGAATCAAAGTGCCAGCCAGCCCTGCCTGAAAATTGCACACAAGAACCCAGCAAGAGAGTCACAATCTTGGTATTTGGCTTTTCAAAAAGCCCTTTCCCTCCTACACAAGGCTGGGTATGCAGAGGGTCATTCTTTAAATAAAGCACAGTCCCCCGTCTGCTCCTCTCTCTCCCCAATTCACAACAATTTACTACTCGAGATGAAGCTCCCTGTAATCTCAAAGATGGCCTCAGTTTGGTATTTTTAAATGTAGTTTTAAAAGCGCTCTGCAATCAGAGGCCATTTCCATGGGCTCTCACTCTGGGGATAAATTAGGCACTGCAATATAAAATTGTATGTCAACAGAAACAGCAAGACCAGCCTTTTCAGACTGTATGAAAATGGAGGATTCATCTGCAGACCAATTTTTTTTTGGTTAAATGGCTCCTTATTAACCATCCAGATGGATTTGAGAGACCCCCTACTATAGGCAAGGCTACGTTAGAGCCTCTTCCTCACAAGTGCCATCATTTCGCCCACTGAATATCTCTTAAAGTCTCCTGGAAAGATATTGGAAGATGGCAGTGATGGAGAACCTAAAGCCCTTCTTGCCTAGGAGCAAACAGCCACTGGTCCCTCAAGTAGCCCGAGCTGAGAATTGAACCTTCAGGGATGCAGAAAGGCACTAAAGGCACTAAGGGTCAAAGTGCTACAGTGCACAGAGGCACTGAAGCCGACGTGTAAAAGGTATGGAGGCCTTCTTATCTGGTACACAGTGCCAGGAAACTGCACATGGATTCTAACACCCTGAGCTGCTGAAGGGTTTTCCACTGCAGACAATTACAGGCCTTACATTACAAATCCTGTGGCCCCTCATTTCCAAGCCCTCAAACCACAACAGGCAGCAGCATTACTTTATTAATCCCTTTTGTTTTGCACGTGAGAAGCACAGCGGCATTATTTCAGCTCCTGAATGGTTAAGGTTAGAGCCTCCTCTTCTGCTTACTTGCCAAAAACCAGGAGCCCCACAGCTCAGAGCCTCTATTCAAGTCCTAATTGACTCTGCATAGCTTTGAGCTTTAAAAGCTCTGGCTCTGAAGGGCCAGTTTGCTCAGGGGAGGGAGGGAAGGTGGCACTTGGCTTTGTTTACTACAAAGACTTAACCACAGCAAACGACTGCAACTGCGGTTTTGCTCTCTTTTGTCTGCTGGAGACATGCACAGGTTGGCGCTGGCAGACAACTGCAGCCCTGCAAGTTTTCCAAACATCAGGCATGACAAGGGGGAAAAGGGCAGGCTTTTCTCTGCAGATAACAGGGGAGCGTGAGATCAAACCAACTCATATGGGCAGAAAAAGCAATTAAATATACATAATTTGGGAACTGAGCGTGCAGGAATAAGCAGAGGTTCCCCAGCACCTGAGTCAGGGCCAGGTGAGACATGAAACCGCTGTTAGGGAATGCATGGATGAAAGTAAAGTTGGGAAACCGGCCAGCATGGGCTCCCCAGTCTGCCTGAGCCCCCACCGTGTGTGCAGCTGCTAAACAAAGCACTTGGGCATTGAAGGCTCGCTTGTTTTCAGAGCACAGGTTTGCTTTGGCAGTACTGTAAGTGGAAAGACTATTCTTGCCTAGGGAACTCAGCCTCTTTGTGCCTCTCAGGCCAGAGATACTGGGTTTTTAACCACTACTACTTGCAGCCATGGCTGCAGCCAAGGAAAATAAGTACGTTTCTACAAGAAGCATTGCAAACCTCCTTATGCCCAAGCTCGGGCTTACTCCTGTATCAAAGGCTCAGATGTAAGAGGCACAGAATGGTCTTACACCTGGCTAAAACTCCTAGTAGGGAAGCAGATTTCCTCCAGACCACACAAAGAAGGGGGGTATGAAGAGGAGTACAGCTCCCAGCGTGAGAACTGTAAATAAGGCAAGTCTGAAAATAGCTAAATCAATACCATGAGCATTCTGAGAATCACCTAACCCAGCTACTATTTTATTCACAGGATAAACCAGATCATCCTTGCCAGCTAAACCCACGTGCTCAAAAAGGATCCTTCTAGCACAGGAAAGCAGGCACCCAGAACCATATATATCACACTGCAGCCCAAACACAACAGCAGGAGTGCAAGAAGAGGAGGAGGAACAAGAGCATTCGTACGGAAAAGGTTCAGGCTTCACTACCCAGCCCTTCCCCAAGGCAGCTCATGGAGAAGACCTGAAGACCCCTCCTACATATAAGGATAAAACAGTTGTCACAACGAGAGAGGCCAAGCTTTGTGCTAAATAAACCCTCTGGTAAAAGGATGTCATGAGAGAAAGGCCTCAGTCTACCCAGTTCTCTGCACATATGATGCCGCATGGCAGTGATCTACTGGCTCTGGTCTCCTCACACACAGCCTCTTGGCTTGTTACATACCTTATAGGGTGATCCCCGCAGGTCTTGGGCCGCTCCATGACTGACACCCACTTGTCATCATAGCTGAAAAGAGAGAGGTCGAGGTATGGGCTGCCACTGTAGGACTGGGCGCTGATGGGGAGCTGGCCCAGCAGCCTCCGAACGGCCTCCGTGTGCCCTCCATACTTGGCATTCACGATAGTGTCTTTGAACCTGGAGCAAGCCAAGGAACAGGTTTTACTCACAAAGGCCACAGGTGAACAGCACAGCTCAAATAAACAAGGAGGAAAACTGATAGGGAAGGAAAAGCAGCAGCAGTGTAAGAACTAAACCAGCTCATTTCCAAAGATGTATCACAGGGATTCAAGCACACAGACCTGGTGACCTTTTTATCCTCTCTCATCATTACTGTTTCTGCTCTGAAAGTCCAAACTGACAGAAGGAGAAGACTGTGCCTGGCCCCAGCTGCTCTGCAGTGCAGGAAATGAACAGGATCAGAAACAGAGAGAGATGGATTAGCAGCTTATCAGCCAATCCAAGTTCTACCATGAAGCCTGGAAACAGCATAAGCAAAAGCCAGAGGGTTTCACAGTAACAGTTGAGCCCTTAATGTTGACATAGCCACTATGTCTGAAATGCATAAAGGGAAAAACCTGAGATGAGGAAGAACCCTGAGAGGAAACCTAAAGCTCTTCAGAAACTCCACTGAGCTGAAAGTTCTTCCTGGGAGAGATGAACAGAGGCTGGATTTCCTTTCCAAGTAAAACTGGAGCTTTCTATGTGCAAGAACAATCAGATCGGCTGCACAGATGTCATACATCAAGGAGGGTAAAACACTTCCACTTGGCCAGAAACACACAGCCAAAAGCCACCTCACTGTGGCCTATGCTCTATCATACTTTGCTGTGGAAGATAAGCACTCCTGTTAAAGGCCCTTGTAGCTAAGAGGATGAAAAGATTCTCCTCTCTATTTTAACAGAAGGCAGGAGTTGCTCTTTGGGTGTCTGCAGTGGGCTCTCTCATTCTCTCCCCTCCCACTAAGCACTATGGATTTCCTGACAGGCAGCTTTAGAAAGTTACAGACACAGTCAACTTCCTCTAACTTATGTGACGTCAACCTAAAATCAACAGAAGCTTCGTGCCCAGAAGTGGTTGCCAAGTACTTTGGATGATGTGAAACAAGCCACTGGAAGAACAAAACACCCTGAGTCACATAAAAATATATTCCAAGAGAAATAACACACTCTGCCTCATTAAAACCACATCCGACAACTGAAGTACATTCTAGAAATCCAGGTTATTTTGATGTTTTGCTCAGCTCCCACAATAGGCCTAATCAGAGGAGCTTCCTTTCTCCTAACAGTTTGATGAGAGCCACAGTCCTGTGGGCTGATGTTGTAGAAAATGCTACAGAACAGTTTGATACACACTAAATTCAGAGAATGCCACTTGGCAATTAGCATCTTGACAAATCTTATCTTCAGGCACCTAAGCTACTGGGCTTTAATAACCTCCAGAAGAGTTACTGCTCCAGGAGGGCCTGAAATATCTTTCCCTCAAAACTCCCCTTCCTTCTTCTATGCACTGGATTGCCGCTGCTTTGCTCCTTAATGCAATGAGACAGATGCTGTGGAATATCAAACCAGATGCACAAGGCTGCAAGATGAGCCACGTCCAAGCAACACCCATGCAACTAAAGGAACTGGTTTTCTCAGGGTTGCTGTTGTTATTTGATACTGGCCTTCAGCTGATGGGGTTGAGCGCATGTCTATGTGGGATAAAGCATGCTCCGAATAGGCTCACCGGCGCTGGATCTGCCTGGCAAAGTTGTTGCTGGAGGCTGAGCAGGGGAACTGGACGGCCTCGCTGTGGAGGGTGGCGTTCCTGAACAGGTCACAGAAGTTCTCAAACAGCTCCAGCAGCTCGTCAGATGTGTTCTCGAAGACAGCAATAACCTCTGTGGTCACCATGTTGTACACAACGAAGAACGAAGGCTGGGAAGAGAGGCAGAGGTTACCCAGGGGAAGCTGTCCCCTCCATATCCCCACATGACACCACAGACCCTACCCAAATGTCTTTGCAGGGCAGGAGAATCCCACATCCCCACACTAATCCATTCTGCCTTCATCCATGCCTCCACAGGTACCAAATTATCCACCTTTAACTGTGATTATTTATGAAGAAAACTTAATGGACTTCCAATTTTCAACTTGAATTGGATGTCAATGCTCCTGTTTTCTCTTCCTCTGCCCTCCACCAAACGCAAAATGCTTTCTAAAGTGCCAAATTTAACTTTCCTGCTGACAAAATGATCTTAAATCCAGGGCTAGCTGGCCACAAATTAGTTTTTCAGACATACATTTTCTTCCTCTTTTTAATATTTCCATCCCACAGAGATGAGCATTTTTAGTGTACTATGCACTAAAGCACTGCCCACAAGGAGTTGTGACCTCCATGCTCTGCCAGTACAGAAATTAAAAACTGAAAGACATTAATGGCTTCTTTTTAATGACAACATTCTTGTGCAAGAAGGCTCCGGAACCATGCTGCAGATTGGCAATGGCAGTGTTTCATGGCAACAAGGCAAAGTCCTGCACCTGGGTCAGGACAATCCCAAGCATAAATAGACTGGGCAGAGAATAGATTGAGAGCAGCCCTGAGGAGAAGGGGTGCTGGTTGACGAGAAGCTCTGCATGTCCCAGCAATGTGCACTCACAGCCCCAAAACCCCGCATGTGCTGTGCTGCATCAAAAGGAGCATGAGCAACAGGTCAAAGGAGCTGTTTTTCTCCCCTCTACTCCCCTCTGAGATCCACCCCCCCATGCAGTCCTGTGTCCAGCTCTGGGGCCTCCAACACAAGAGGGACGTGGAGATGTTGGAGCAAGTCCAGAGGAGGCTATGAAAATGCTCCAAGGGCCGGAGCAGCTCTGCTCTGGAGCCAGGCTGACAGCTGAGCTTGTTCAACCTGGAGAAGGCTCCGAGGACACCTTATGACAGTCTTCCAGTACCTAATGGGGGCCCAAAAGAAATCTGGAGAAGGATCTTTTTACAAGGGCCTGTAGGGACAGGACAAGGGGAATGGCTTTAACCTTCTGTTATTTCTTAGTCATCCGATTGCGCTGCCTGTACGTTACACTGCCATCGCACCTACTCTGCCCCTCGGCACACCGCATCTGCACAGAGGCGGTGTAGTTTACACACACAGGGTCATAGAATCATAGAGTAGCAGGTTGGAAGGGCCCTGAAAGATCATCTCGTTCAATCTTTCCAGGCAATGCATGACCTAGACTAGATGTCAAAGCACCTTGTCCAGCATCATCCCATCAGAGTTGCACGATTTCATACGGGCATCTGGCTAAACATTGCAAAAAGAGAAGCTGTAACATTAGGCTGGATTTTGGGAATTCACAGCACAGTAACTTTTTCGGCTGCCCTAGTACAAAGCATACGAATAGGGAAGATGGAATAGGGGGAAATTTATTTCTCTGAATCCCAGAAGCCTTGACATGACACCTTACCATACTTCAAGAAGTGAATCTTGACAGTGGGTTGGACTAGATGATCTCCAGAGGTCCCTTCCAACCCCAGTGATTCTGTGATTCTGATTCTGTGATTCTGACAGAGGGGAGACTGAGATGAGCTCTTAGGCAGAAGCTCCTCCCTGGGAGGGTGCTGAGGCGCTGGCGGAGGGTGCCCAGAGAAGCTGTGGCTGCCCCATCCCTGGCAGTGTCCAAGGCCAGGTTGGACACAGGGGCTTGGAGCAACCTGCTCTAGTGGAAGGTGTTCCTGCCAGCAGCAGGGATTGGAACTTGAAGATTTTTAATTTCCCTTCCAACCCGAACTATTCTGTGATTCTATGAAGACGGTGACATTGCATTACTGAAGGTACATCAAAGGGAGACAAGGTTCCCATCCCATTGGCAAAGGGCACATTTAATCCTTGATCAAATGTAGCATTCATTAGAGACACGAGTGCTAACAACCCAGCACCCTAAAGCAAGAACCTGCCCCGACTTCAAAGGTAACCAATTCCCATGGTACCTGCACACATACCTGGTTAAATCTTCTGTCAATAAAGACAATTATCTAACTGCTTCACCTTCCGCTCCCAAGAAGTGCTCAGGGATGATGCAGGCACTCTGCCCACCCTCCCACCTGCAAATCTCCCAAGGTTTGTTTGGTTTACAGCCCCAAAATAACTTGTGCTAATACAATCCAGCCCCCACACATCCAAATGAAGAGCTCTACATGAGGTTACTCACTCGACTACTGCCTGAGGAAAGGAAAGCCCTTCTGAAATACAGGGCTGGAGAAGAGACAAAATAAGAGGAGACAGCAGAAGAAAAAACTATTTACATCATTGGAGATTGCAGGGATAACCTTAAATAAAAAGTTCCTTTGCCAGGTTAACACATAGACACATCAGCAGGATGCCCCTGACCAGAGAAACTACCTTCAACTGCTCTTCAGCAGCACCTGCAACACAGGCAAAAACCATCATCACAGCAGAGGTAGCAGAAATCAAGTGGCAGAAATTACACAGCAAGGCTGCCAAGTCTATCAACACAAGCCTGGAACAACCAAACCCCAAGCTACATACACAAGCAATCTTGAAGGATTCCATACAGACCCTGACAATATAAAGCACAAACAGCACCTTCTTCAACCTTCTTGGTAGAGAAGCCAGAGAGAAGAGAGGAGCCTGAAACTGGATGAAACCTCATGTTCTTCTCTGACAGACAAAAGAAAAATTGGAGCTTTCGGTATATTGTGAGCCAGGATGTCCTAACACAAAGCCTACGTTCAGGCAGGTCTGTGGAGCCTGCTCCACATCTGGAATTATCTCCTGAAAGAACTGAGGTTCCTTCCTCCAGCATAAAACACACTGCCCGAGAACACCACAAACCAACCACAATCTGCACCTTCAAGTAACCTTTGGGTGAAGAGAGTCTGGAGCTCCAGCAAACTGGGCACAGCAGCCTCGGTAACCACAGTGCAGGGCAGAGCTGAGCCAGCCACAGACGTCAGGTGAGGAGCACTGTTCCACATACCAGCAAAGAGCTCAAAGCTGCAGGCCACTTCCACAAAGCTTTAATGTTTTTGAGGCAGATGCACAGTTTTACACAGTGTGTAAAGCTGAACAGATTACACCGTAACCTATTCCCTCCCAAAGCAGCTCTCCCAAACACCACATAAGAGAAAAATAAAGAGAGCCAATTATCTTCCAGGAAGAATGAGATTATGACAACACACAAAGAACTACTGTTTGTTTCTTCTAGGAACTAAATCCTGGATCTGGCAAAGACAGGAAGGGAGAAAAGGGTATGAAAGAAAACCAAACATCTGGGAACAGTCAGACCTACATGCAGCACTGCAGATTTATTATGAATTCTTACTAAATACCCTCAACAGAATCAAAACCAAGTGGATTAAAGGAATAGAACAAGCTAATAAACCATGCTTCTCAGCTTCACAGAGCTCAAAACCTGACCAGAGCTCTAATGGTAGTGAAAGAGATGATCAGCCTGGGGCATGGTGAAAGGTCTGGAGGGGCCCAGCACTGACTGAGCTACATGTGCCCTGATTTGACTTTTTTAGTACTAAGCTGAAAGGAGAAGCAATTGGCACATTAAATAGATCTAAAAGCTGCTACTCCAATTTGGAGAGATAAATACTAACTCACTGAAGCTTGAAAGAGTGAGCGCGTAGGCAGAACAGAAAAGGGAATTCTACTGGGGAAAGATGAAGACTATTCTATTTGAAAAACATGCTTGAAGATACATGAGAGAACGGAGAGGCTGCCTCTGCAACTGAAGTGTACTACCTGAAACACCAGCTAAAAAATTAATCAGCTGGGGATCTGGGAGGGGAGGCTTGTACTAAATCTGTGAGCAAGGGGAACAATCCCTGGAGAAAGGGGACTCCACGACACATCAAATGTCTTCTCTCTCATTTTTAGTTGAGAAGCAGTGAAATTATGAGAGCAAAAGCTATGAAAGTTATTCAATATCAGAGGTATCATATGTTCACACAAGAATGAAGTACTGAGTAGCCTAAACAACACTCACACACTCAGCTATGAAGCACAACTCACAGCACTGCACACACTTGAGCTGCCTCAAAGCAACGAGCAGCCTGAAGAGGCTGCAGTACCTGGGAAGGGTCCGTCACCCGCAGCGTGACCACATCTTCACTAGTGTATTTGATGAAGAGATGGTTCTCATCCAAAAGCTGCATCTTCCACATGCGGAGCTGCCTCAGCTGATCGAAGTACTGGAAGAACCTTCTTTTTGCTATGGCGCTTCCATCCTGCTCGGCCCTTCTCCACAGGTACACCAGCAGTCTGTGCTTCAAAGAGTTTATGAAGGGCTCTTTGTAGGGGTTGGCCATCCCTGTCTGAGTGTCCCGCTGCACCTCGGGATACACCGCAGACAGCGTTAGGAGATCATCCTCATAGCAGAAGCGGCCAATCGTCCGTACGTCGATGAACGTACCCTCAGGTGTGACTTGAAAGACATGAATCGTCTGTTGCTGCACAGAGAGAATGGCCAAGATGTTCTTATAGAGGTACAGCCCCTGGTTGTGAGACAGGATGACTTTGTCACATTTGAAAGTCCGTGTGTCACAAAGTCTGCCCGTGTGGAGGTCTATGATATGCAGGGAATAATCCTCCAGGGGGGAGCGGGGATTAGGGGTCACGGACTCGCTGTTGCGGTAGACCTCGAAGAAGGGAGGGTGAGGCTCCTCGGGGAGGTACGCGGCAGAGCCCACGATCACGTACCGGCAGTCATCAGTGAACAAGCTGCACTCCCGGTTCAAGTGCTCCCCGTTGGAGGCCACATTGGTGATGTGGAGCAGGACAAAGAAGCGCTCAAAGAGCCGCCCGCGGATGTTGACAGATCTTTGGTCGTTGCCGTTGGCCAGGATCTCCCCCTCATAGCCCTGCAGGAGGTCTTCTGCCGCCTGGCAGCCCTGATACTCATAGATCTCCAGAGAGGTCTGGTCAGAGGAGAAGGCGATGAAGTAGCGGCCATCAGGGGAGAACTTGCGCAAGAAGCAGGGCGGCTTCTCCACGTTGACCACGGTGAAGTTGGGGAAGACGTTCTGGTGGAAGACACGGACCTGGTGCCAGTGGGTGCCGGCTTTCCCCGAGCTGATCCGGCGGCGCTCCAGGCGGTGGATGACGTTCTGGTTCTGGATGCGGCGGGGCCTGATTGTGGGGGCATCATGGTCCATGGTCAGAGCTCTACTTCATCTTCACCCTGAAGGGAAGAGAGCACACATGTGCTGTGGAACCACACAGAAATGGGGGTAGAATGCACGGTGCTGGGGACCTGCTTGCATGGATAGGTTGGTGGAAAGCCCTATAGCACCTAGTGGAGGTGGCTGAGAGATGCAGTCCCACTCTGGGGAAGGGAGAAACAGGAAGACACTATGGGGAGAATCTGGGTAAAAGACCTCAATGGCAGGGGAAATGGGGAAGAGCACAGAGGTGACCCCAGTGCACTGAGGGGTGATAGTACCTGCAAACCTGCCTAATGAAGAGCAAAACACAGGGGGAACTGGAAGGGGACAGATGCACGGGACAGGCACAGGGGAGCACTAAGGGAATGAAGGGAGCCCGCAGGCAAGGGGGAGGGTATCCGGAGAGCCGCGGATAACCCACAGACCTACTGGCTAACAGGTACCGGGAGAGGGCTGCTTGGAGAGCACGGAGGGTGCTGGGGCACAGGCGAGGGCACCGGGAGGCGAGCGGGCCTGCCTGCCAGGGGCCCACAGGGAGCTCCGAGTCCCGGCGGCTCTGGGGGGACCCCGAGCTCCAGGGAACCCCCTCGGGGCTCCCAGCCGCCCTCCCGCTGGCCGGGAGAGCAGAGGGGGTCCCCGGGCCGGCAGAAGGCCAGGCCGCACCGCGCTCACCGCCGGGCCCAGCGCTGGGTCCCGCCGCTCACGCCATGGCCGCCGCCATCTTCCCGCCACCGCACGACTACGGGAGCGAGAGTGGATCACCCGCCCGACTTCCGCTTCCGGAACAGCGAGGCGGGCCGCGGCTGGCCAGAGTGTCAGCGGAACGGGGAGCCTCTGCCCCCTGGCGGGAAGGAGGGAACACTGCGGGGCGAGCCCGGACACCCATCCAGAACCCACGCTGTACCCATCCCGCATCCATCCAGAACCACCCTGTACCCATCCCGCATCCATCCAGAACCCACGCTGCACCCATCCCGCATCCATCCAGAACCCACCCTGCACCCATCCCGCATCCATCCAGAACTCACCCTGCACCCATCTGGCACCCCCTGAAACCCAGCACCCACTCAGCAGCCTGATCAACTCCCTGCACTCATCCTTCACCCCTCTCCCTGCACCCCGGTCACCCACCCTGCACCCATCCTCCACCCCATCCCAGTACTCCCTGCATCCCCATCCAACCATCCCGAAGCCCCCTGCACCATCCCTCACCCCTATCCCACACCCCAATGCCCCCCGACACCCCTCATGCCTTGAGCATCCCAAACCTCTCCATCCCCAGGCACCCCGAATCCCTGCACTGGAGCACTCCAGGGTATCAGCACCCCGACACCTCGCCCCCAGCACCAGCGGCAGAGATTGGGGTCACCCCTGGGCACCCCTTCAGGCTTTCCAAGGAGCTTGAAAGCTTTCTGCTCTCCCAGGCTTTCATCAGCATCCCCCTTTGCGCCCCCCGCATTAGCAGCCGGCAGCGAGAACAGCTCCGAGGGGCATTTTGTCCTTCAAAGGGAAGGGAGGAGGAATGTCAGGGGGGCCCTTGAGATCCATTAGCTGGCCTCTCACCGGGGCTGAGCTGCCACGCTAGCACCTGGAGCCATTCCATCAGCGGATGCAGGAGCTGGGAGCAGGGAGCAGGGGGTGGGATGCTCAAACCGGGATGCCAGAGAGCCTGATGGGTGCATCTCCTTCCTGTAGGGCGGGTGGCCCCACAGGGACACAGCACTAATAGCATCAGGATGGAGAGGGGTGCTCCTGCTGCACCGAAGCTGTTGAAATTCCCAGGGATCCTCCATGTGTTTCATGGGATGCTTCAGGGTATTGGGGTGGAGCAGGACTCCTATATCCCAGGGGATGTGGCTTGGATGTCCCCAACTGCCTTCCGCAGGGATAGGGAAGGCAGCCTGCCTGGCATTTCCATGCAGCAGGAAGGGGTCCCTGGGGGATCCTTGTGGCTGCCACCCCACCTGCCTGCCCCATTCCCATCTCCCACATTTTCATGCCCACCAGCCATACCCTGCATCCATTTCCTCTCTCCCAGTGGCAGGAGGCGCGATGACAAGACTAAAATGAATGGCCCCAGCGCCTCTCTTTGTCTCTGCCTGCTGCCTAATTAATTGAGATCCACCTTAATAGGATCAAACTAAATACCAAAGAGCATCCAACCACACAGCAGCTGGCAGCAAAACAACCGCCCGGCGCACGCACACACAGTGAAAGACAACTCGCTGGACAAAAGAGCCATTAACACACCTGCAATTAACGCTTCCGGAGCTAATAACTTCATTACCACAGTATCCCCACAGCCACAGCCCCCACGGTGCTGAGGAGGGGGCCCGGGGACCCTCACTTGAAGCGGTTTCATCCCTTAGCAGGGTTTGCATCACATGCAATAAAGCTCATTGTGGGTATGAGGCTGGGGGCGAAGATAGTCCTGGCTCCCTGGGGAGCATCCATTGAGGTGGATGCTGAAGGCTCAGAGCTCCTGGGATACTTCACCAGCTGCTATTTCCCACCTCTGCAGTGTCTTGTGCCACCCCTTGGGGGCCCACCAGTGGGGGACACATCACTGTCCCCATCACTGTCTGCTAGGGGACAGTGGGGTGTCCCTTTGCAAACCCCCAGGCCAGAGGGAGATGGCAAACCCCAGCTCAGAGCACTGGCACAGGGGTTAGTGGGGTTGGTCCAGAGGTTGCTGGGATGGATATAAGGGTTACTGGGCTCCTCCAGCCTCACAGGTCAATGGCTTTGGGTCTCATTGGGTTGGTTTTGGTGGAAGTCCCTTACCTCCACTGCAGCAGCATGCTCTGTGCCTTCACAATGAGCCTCAGCACTGGAGGGTATCACGAGCCCCAACACCCTCTGCCAGTGCCACATCCACATCCAGCCCGTTATTCCAGAGGCAGAAAGTGGGTTAAAAAGGAAAACAATAAATCTCAGCCCATTCAGGCTGGTTTGGAGGATTTCTGCCATTCCTGAAGCCAGGACCCTTCTGCTGTTCTTTGGCTGTTTCCCAAGAGCCTCCCAGCTCTGGATCCCATGGCTGTTTTCCCAGGACTGGAGAGGGTGTGTAAGGACAACAGTGCTGGGGAGATCACATGGAGGGTGATGCACCATCAGCCAGATACAACCCCCAGCATGAAATCACTGTGGGGAAAAGCTGGATTGTCCCCTTGCAGGGATGCTTGCGGAGGAAGAAAAACTCTCCATGTCCTGAGCATCACTATTCCCCTCCCATGGCCACAGAGCTTGGTTGCTGTGGACTTCCCCATTGTGCCAAGGGTGGGGAAAATAAAACCCAGTTGCTTTTAAGATAATAAAATGAGGGTGAAATATGTACAAGAGCCCAGTGTGGGGAGGAAGGCTTCAGCCTTGAGTCCTCCCCAAGCCCTGCCTGTGCATCCCCATGGCCACTCTGCAGGAACTGGCTGCTTCCAGGGGGTGTTTTTAGGGTGAAGCATCCTAGCAGTGGTAGCAACAAACTTCAGAGGGGGAAACTCCTGCTGGTGTGAGAAAAGAGCAAAGGGAACAGAAGGAGACCTTGGATGTCTCCCATTTTCCCAAGGAAAAAAAGGATGTAATTCCATATTTAGATCTTCCCCAAGACTGGGCAGTGACTCTGTTCATGTTTGCAGAGTTTTGGATGGGGAACCACATACACATGGCTTTATAAATGGGATGAAAAGGTCCTGTCCTTAAAACCTGCGCTGGTTTTAACTGGCATCAGAGGCTGTTTTTGAAGTGGGACTGAGGGGCTCCAATGTGATCACCACCATCAGAATGGGGTCTGCAGGTCTAGAGTCCATGGGTTTCCTGTTCTTGGGGTTGTCATTTCTCTGCTTGAAGGCAAGATCTGCTTCAAACACCTCCCAAAACTCTCCTGGCCTTTGCACAGTGCAGGTAGAACTCCAGGGGCAGGAGGTGGGGGCTCACTGGGGTGCCCCATCTTTCTGGGTTGCTCACATAGGGGTGCCACTACTGGATAATGGGGATCCCCTAAGCACAGGGGACAGGCAGAGAGACAGCATCACCCACTGCAGCAGGGTGTCCAAGCTATCCCATGGTAAGAGCTCGATAAGCTTAGCCCACAGCCAGCTCCGTGCATGGCGTGACAGCCCTGTCCCCCCCCCAATGCACCCACCACCACGGGATGACACCCCTGTGCGTGTCGTCCCGCCCCCCCAGCCCTATACCCCACCGTACACCCATCACAGGGTGACAGCCTTGTCACCCCCCCCCTCGTGTCACCCATGGGGTGACAGCCCTATACCCACCGTAACCCACCGTAGGGTGACACCGGGTGTCCCCTCCCGTGTTACCCGATGATGGGGGGGGGTGCAGCCCGTCTGATGCGCAGTGACATTTGCAATCTGTTGCCATGGGCGCTCGGGGACTTTTGCTGTGGAGGGGAATCGCGTTCCTCTTCCCCCCCCCCCCCCCCTTTCTCCTTCATCCTTCTCCTCCTCCCCTTCCCTCCCTTCCGATGACGTCATGGATGACCACGATGGTGACAGGGCCACCTGTGGGCTGGTGAGGGGTTTAAAGAGACAGTCTGCAGCTCCAACAGGAGCCCCGGCTATTGTCTCCTCACCTGAGAGCAGGGACGACCCAGACCAACATCCTTACATCCATCGCATCCAGTCCCACTCTATCCCTGCATCCCCCCTTGCCTTCATCACTGCGGCTCTCTCCCGGGACCCGGGCATCCCAAGCTGAGTCCTGTATCCCTTCTCTATGGAGGCTTTTCCAAGGTAAGGCTGCGCTCCGTGGTATCCCATATCCCAGTGGGGATCCCGATGGGCTGTGGCTCCGAACGTCGCTAGCGGCGTTCGGAGCCGCAGCCCATCGGGATCCCCTCATAATCCAAACCCCATACGAGGCATCCCCAGCTGGGATCAGTCACTTCTATCCTCTATTGGGACGCTGCCACCTTCCCCACACCTCCAAACAGGACATTGGGCTCATTCCAGAAGATAAGACAACAAAACCCCTGGGGTGGCAGGTCCCTACCCACATAAAGGGGTTGGGATGCTCCTGCCTGGGGTAGCACCGGGATGTGGGGGATCTCCAGTGTTCTTCATCCCTTCTGGCATTCCTAAACCACTTTGGAAGGTGCTCACCACTGGGTATCTTCTATGACACCCCCCAGGCAAGAGCCTTGGGCATCTCCTTGTCCCTGTTGTGGTCCTCATCAAGGAGACCCTTATTGCTGATACTATGCCCGGTATCTGAAACCCACCACGGCCAAGCCCTGAGGGGATACAGGTGATGCCAGGAAGACATGGGTGATGCTGCAGGAACAGGTAGAGGCAGGGGTGAGGAGCGCTCCTCATCTTGGATGGGGGGAAAGGACCATCTCTGCCCGGTCCTCCGGGCTTTGTCCCACTGTCCTTCCAGCTCCGACAGGATGAGCAGCAGGTAAGTGCCTCTGCTCAGCGTCACTCGGATGTGCGGGCAGGGAGCTGGGTCGGAAAGGGATCTGGGACCTGGGAGAGGCTCGGAGAAGAGCAGGGTGGAGATGTGTGTGTAGGGACCGGAGTGTGCATAATCCCGGCAAGAGGAAAGTGATGTCCCTTCCCACAGGACATAATCCAGCAATGAATGAGCAAGTCACCAAACTCCTTGGTGGATCCCAGCGGGCATCCCTTGAGGGTCTTCCTAAGATCCGGATCCACTTAACTCCCATCAGCTACAGAGCCGCTGGTCCCACAGGGGTGGCTGTGGTGGGAGCAAGGCAATCAGAGTAAACCTCATGGCTAGTAGCCTGGGCTGCCTCTTCATGAGGGGGAAGTGGGGCAGGAGGGGAAGGGAACTGTGTGGTCCATCCTGGAGGAGCTGGGCAGATCCAAGGATGCAGCTGCCCAGTTTTGGGGTGGAAGAGGCAAAATGCAGACTGTGTGATAGGTGGAAATCTCTGCCTGGGTGGGTTTGGCATCTGCCCACTTGGTAGCAGCTGAAGTGCAGGGACACAACCCGCACCTTGCTGCACATGGCCTGAGAGATCTGGGGGAATGCCTGCAATCCCCTGTGATGCTCAGTCTTTGTCCTCCTCACTGCCATAGGGGGACACTGGGGACAAAATAGGGAGCTCTGGCTCCAGCATGGGATGGGGCAGCCCTGGCTGGACCCACCTTGCCCTGGGGGACTCTGGGGAGGCTGCTCCATGGCCAGTTTCCAAGGGGATGCTTGGAGACCTGTGGTTGATACCTGCTGGGGCGGGGGGCATCCCTATCCCCTCCCTGCACTGTGTATGGGGCAGTGGCTGCTTGAGCAGCAGCCACAGAAATCAGGAGTCAGTTTAGTCCTAGATGAGCACAGATGAGGGCTGCCTGTTGTTCCAGTGGGGCCAAAAGTCGAGCTGAATAAACCCGGGGTTGTAGCGTCTGGCTCTGGTCCATGTGCATGGACACACGGAGCAGGCAGGAGACATACAACACACAGGAGGAGTTGTAGAGTAGCGGCTGGCTGTGCCTGGTGGTCCAGGGATGTGCTGTCTGCCTGAGCACCTTTTGCTGCTTCATAATCCTGTGAGAACACGTAACCAGAAGGGAACTGATGCCCGTGTGTGAGGACACCCAAATATACATTCAGACACACGTGTCGTACCCAAATACGTCGCGGCACTGGGGAACGCCAGCGCGCAAGCTGGTTACACTCCCAGCTCCCCCCGGCAGGCGATTCCACCTCCCCCTGATCCCTCAGGGAAAACTCTTCCAGTGCTGGTGATGGATAACACCATCAGAGCACGGGCTCTTCTCCTGACCCTCCTTCTGGCAGCATCCGAGTTCCCTTTGCTGGCTTTGTAGGCTCCAATTCCAAACGGTGTCTGAGCTCAAGGCTAAGCACCTGCTTGCTGCTGTAATAAGCAGGGATAAGGTCTCCAACAGAGGTTTGTTCAGGTGGGGAATGAGGTTGGGACCTCGATCCATCAGCAAGGAGCCCAATCCTTCCCCTGTGAGAGGCAGAGTTAAGGTAAAGTGACCAATTCCACCTTCAAGGCTCCTCCCTGGGCTGTGTTTTCTCATCAGGCTCCAAGCCCACCCAAGGCTCAGGCTGTTACTGTGTGCTGGAGCAGTCAAACACAAAGAGGGGATGAAGGTGGCTTTCATCCCACCCTCGTCACGCTTTGGGCTGGACTGTGCCCAAGCCATGGGGAGAAGGGGAGGAACCAATGCCACCAGGCAGTGTCCAGCATCCCCGCTCAGACTGTGCACACAGCAGGCACTGGTTTCTCAGCAGCGACGCAGAGGCTTTTCCAGCGTGGCCTCTTAACCCTGCTAATTCCCTTGTTTTCTCCTGCCAGGTCCGCTGTGCCCCTGCCAGGGGGTGTCCCGGAGCCTGCTAATTGCACTAGTGAGCTTAGTGTCTCACCATCACTGGGGAGCTTTTCTCTGGGGTTGTTTTGGGACTGCTGCCCTTGGGATGTGAGCAGCAGCACTATTTGCCCTTTCCCCTTCACCATCTCCGTATGAAAGATGTCAATCTTTGATAGACTCCCTTGCTCCCAGCCCGCACTGAGATGGGGTGTCACCAGGGACGGTGGTGATCCTCAGCACAGCGCAGTGCTTCTCCCATTCTGTCTTCCCTATCAGGAAGGCACCGAAGGTGCAGTGCTAGGAAGGGCTGACCTAGCTCACCTAACCCACTCACCTACGTCCACATCTCCAAGGCTGTTTTGGAGCTGCCAGAGTTGATTTGGAGGTACAAGAGCTCATCCCCACACCCGTCCCCCTCCTCATCCAAGGGAGGCTTCAGGGTGCCAAGAACACCCCGGAGCATCCCTCACCTCCCACCTCACCATCCCCACCTCCTGTCCCCAGGCCATCTGGCCACACTCATCCATGTTAAACAAATGCTGGAGTCTATTATCAGGCCCTGCCTCCCCCTTCCCCCCTGGACAGATGGAGGCTGAGCACACCCGGAGCCCCGGCCCGCAGCATTCATGTGTGTGAATGAGAAAATTGAATTATTTATGGCCATGCGAATAAGGCTGCCTGCTGCAGAGGCCGAGCAAAGGGACTCCATTACGTGGCAAGGACCTGTTGCTATGGAGCTGGGGCTTCTTCCCCACAGCCCCCCGTGCACGGCTGTATCCCTGCTTGAGCCCCATCCTGCCCTCATCTTCACAGGGGTGGGATGGAGAGTAGCACTGAGCGCTGGGTTGGCCATGGTGTGCTCATCCCCGCACTGTTCCTGTTCCTTACCCAGACTTGTTTGGAGGTCACCCCAAATCTCCCCACATTTCAGACCTGGATCCCCAGTGCA